TTAATATGGACTTGAATAGACTTTTCCTGCAGTGATCGCTGTATAGAATTCTATTAGTCATGTTAGGACTGTATAGTGTGTTGAGCGTGAAAGAATTAGCGAAGAACGTTGATGTTGGTCTTGAATAAACACGTTGATGTATTAGGCTTGGAAAGAACGCCGATCTATAAATCTAGGCAAAGGGCGTTGATGTACGTAGGCCTAGCTGAAGGCAATCTTAGGTAAAAAAGTATCGAAGTAAGGAGTTGGTAATATCATGATAAAACAGTACTGGCTGGGCTACAAAATTGAACTTTTTGGCTAACAACTGGTCTAAACTGGTCAGTTTTTCAACTTTGAGGGGGGGGTGGAACGAGAGGAATTTTTTACTATAGGTTGGGTAAGGTAAGGTAGAATACGGCACGGTAGATCAGATGGGGTAGGATAGAGTTGGATACGTTAGGGTAGGGTACGGCACAGTAGGGCAGATAGAGTAGGATATAGTGGAAAATGTTAGAATAGATTTGGATATTTTTTTCCGTTTTTTAACCCAACTAAGCTGCTGAAGTTTGACCTACTGTTGATTATAGAGAGAATTTCTAATACAGTTTTGTAACAGAACTTTTGGCGCACTCTATAAGCTATTGCTTATGAAAAAGGCATTTTAAAATAGTTAAATCCGATTTTAACTTTATTTTGAGTATATTTTGACTTGTTGGTACCACATTATATTTCAAAACAGTATTATAAACCCTCTCATTTCCTTGTCAACCCCACCCCCGAACCATAAACAATATCCATGCTTTATGCGAACCGAAAACCAACCACGGCACATGAATTTATTCCATAAATCTGTCATTGTATCCTCGAAATTTTTACCCGCAGGGGAAAAAAAGGAGCGTGAAAAAACAACATGACTTTTGTTGGTCGCTTCCCGTTTTCGCGGATCTGACTGGGTCAAAGACTGCGAACAGATCCCTCGAGGCGAAATATAGGGGAATCTGGTTGGGGACACCAAACTTACTTATTCTATATTCATACACTCGATTCGGCTCCTATTTTTGCGGATTCTGAAGCCGGGTGGGGGTTTATTTAGAGCTTATTTGGGAAGGGGAGAGTAGAATAGGGCGGGTAAGGCATTTTAGGGTAAAGCAGTGTGAGATAACGTAATTTTTGGGGGGTTCTGAAGGGCGGTGTTTTATTTGTATTTTTTAGCGGAGGGTGTGGTAGTGTAAATTATGGTATGGTGTGGTAAGGTTGGCTTGGGATAGGCGGGTCAATGTACGGTAGGGCGGAGTAGAGAAAGTTAAAGCTAGGTAGAAGGTAGAGTAGCGAGGGTAGGATAGAACAGGCTGAGGTTGGGTATAGTAAGGTAGAGTATGATAAGGAAAGGCAGGACAAGAAAATGCAGAACAAGGCAGGGTATGGTAGAGTAATGTAGGGTAGGGTATGGTAAGGTAGAGTATGATAAGGAAAGACAAGAGAAGAAAATGCAGAACAAGGCAGGGTATGGTAGAGTAATGTAGGGTAGAGAAGGGTAGGATAGGGTAGGGTAGGGTAGGTTATGATAGAGTAGAGCTTGATAGAGTATGATATAAGTAAGATGTCGTAGGGTAGGGCAGGTGCAATGTACGAATTTTAGGCTTTATAAAGTCAGTATTACATCTCTGTCTATAAAGTTTTTTTCTTTGAAGTGACTCAACGTAGACTCATATTCAATCTTGATTATTGTAATAATGAAAAGAACAGTTTTTTGTTTACAATTTAAGCGTGTATAATATGATTTGCGTGACACTTCCTGTAATTTGACGTAATGTTAATGCATGTACTTAATTTGAACATTACATTGTATTTCTAGCTTTTTAAGTTTTAAGGGCACCGCTTTTGGAAGTTTTTAGATTCAATAATAGTAGTTTTTACAGTATGGCTCTCAAGTAGGGTAGGGATGGGAAATGGCCGTTTAGTCCGGGCTTGGCCCTACGATTGGGCCGTGTAGTATAGGGTAGGGCACAGTAGAAAAGGGTAGGATAAAGTAAGCCATGTTAGGGTAGGGTAGTATGGTAGGATAGGGTAGGGTAGGGTAGGGTAGGGTAGGGTAATGTAGGGTAGGGTAGGGTAGGGTAGGGTAGGGTAGGGTAGGGTAGGGTAGGGTAATGTAGGGTAGGGTAGGGTAGGGTAGGGTTATGCTAAGACAGAACAGGATACTACAAAGGTTACTAAAATTTATACAAGGCTCTAAAAATCATTTTATAAGCTCTACCACAACATAAAACTCTATAGTACCACGCGCTACAACATACGATTGCTCTAATCCCTCTGTAGGCTTAACTTACGCTCAAGCGCGCAACAAACAGTTGTGCGATTAATTATCGCGCGCTTTAAAGTGCTTGTTTTATGTAATTAAGACTGGGGCTTAATTTGCTTCAGGTCAATAAATCCTTGGTTTTTTGATTGGTCTACGCTTCCTACCAGCTTTCGTTTGGAGAATGACGTGGTATTCTGAATATTGGCTTATTTCTAAGGTTTTGGGCGTGTTTTTAGGTTTTAGGTGGTAGTTTTAGCTTTAAGGGGGTGTTTTTTACTAGTCAAGCGGGTATTTTCAGATTTAAGGGGTTGGTTTTACTTTTTAATGAGGTATTTTCACTTCCAAAGGGGTGTTCTTACTATGAAGAGGGTAGTTTGTAGCCTTAAGGAGTTTTTTTTGCTTTTAAAGGGGGTAGTTTTAGTTTTAAGAGGTGTTTTTTCTTTTTAAGGGGTTATTTGTTACTTTAAAGAGGTTTCATATTGTTCAAGGGTGCATTTGTTGCTTCAAGCAGGGGTTTTAGTCTTTAGGGGTTGTTTTATCTTTTCAAAAATGTATTTTGAGCTCTACGAGGGTGGTTTTGGTTTTCTAAGGGGTATTTTTTGCTTTAATGGGATGCTTTTATTGTTTTTAAGGGGTGTTTTAAGCTTTGAGGGTAAATATGGGTATTTTTAACTATAAGGGATGTTATAAGTTTTCTAAGGGGTATTTTTTGCTTTAATGAGATGTTTTTATTATTTTTTAAGGGGTATTTTTAACTTTAGAGGTATTTTAAGTTTTCTAACAATTGTAAGGGGTATTTTTCTAATGGGATTTTTTTACTTTTCAAAGGGGTAGTTTTATAATATCTAATTCTAAAGGTATACTTTATGAAAAACTTGTAATATTGAGCTGCTACAAAAGTTTTGTCGTGAATTTGCTTTGTTTTGCAGATTGAAAAACGACAAGGCTTTTGTAAGGCCTGTGTACTGTTACGGTTGGGTTAAAAAGTAAATAATACAGTGTAAATAGTGTTATTTGAGTTTATTTAAGTAAATTATACATAATTTTTGGATTAAGCTATTAGTATAATACCGTGAGAACGTTTTTCTTACTTTTCCAATATGAGAAAGCTTAAAGAAACATTATTAATGTTATAACTCGCAGAAAAATTTTTCATTTTTATTTTGCAGTAGTCATAATATCATAAATTTCAAAATCAAAACGCTCCTCCTCATACTCTTTTACAAGATTTTTATGAAGTTGTTATGCAATACGTTGTTATTACGTGGTTACGGAGTTAATTGCGAGCTGAAGAAGGAGGAGAACGTCGCTGTATAATATCAGATGAATGAATATTCAACAGAAGAAAAGAAAAGTCGTTTCTCGTTTTTTTTCATTATTACAAAAACTGAAAAAGTTTTTTTTATAGACAGCCGGCTGGGGTGTTTTTGTAGAAAGTTAATATGGAAAGAAAGTTTTTGCTAAAAATTTTTTTGGTTTATTTATTTTTTTTAGTTTTGAATTAAAATTTAGGCTTAAAATATGAAAAATGAGTTTGAAAGGCCAAAATGGTACTGTTTTGACTATTCTTGGTGCTGTAAAGAAAGTTTTTGCAAAGAAAATTTTTTGGTTGATTTTGACTTTTTTTGGTTTTTGAATCAAAATTTAGTCTTAAAATATGCTTGAAGGGTAAAAGTGGTACTGGTTTCCTCTTTTTTGGTACTATATTGGCTAAAAATTTTTTAAAAAATCCAAAAATTTGTTAAAATTTCACTTTTTTTCGAAATTATTTTGAAACTTTCAAACGAAAAACATAAATAATGAACTTGTCATTGTTTGACTTTTTTGCTTAACTATTCATATAGAAACCGACTGTTTTAGAAACAGTTTGCTCTTTAATGACTCACTATGTAATGGGAACGGCTAATATTATCCTACTCTCTGCGCGACAATAATTGTCTTATTGTCTGTGAACTGTTAGCGTTTTTAATGAAATTAAGTATTATTGTAACGTATTTTACATTTTTTTTCTGTTTCTGTATTTTCAGGTCAAAAAGTTTAGGGAATTTAAAAAAAATTTTTTTAATAATTTTGTAACATTTTCTTCCATTTTTGTTATAAATAATCCACTTTTAAGCCTGAAAAACATTATTTTTACCTAAAAATCAATTCTAATCACTTGTCTCTCATTTCCGTTTTCTCTCAAAACGAAAAACAAGTGTTTCTCTTTCCGTTCCGTTGTGGTCTAGTGGTTAGGATTTGCGGCTCTCACCCGCAAGGCCCGGGTTCGATTCCCGGCAACGGAAGAAAACCTTTTAGGGTTTTTTGTAAAATGTTTGGGTAATATTGTTATTGAATATTGTATAATAATTGTTTTTGTATTATTTTATACTATTTTACACGTTTTCTTTATAATTTGGAGTATATATCAGTAGGGTTTTAAGGGTTTTTAGATATTATTTGATGATTTTTTGAGAATTTTATGGATTTTTAGAGGCTTTCGAGCTTATAAATTAGTTTAAAATTAGTTTTATAGTTAAACCCTAATTTATTTTTATAAAATATGCGTGTGTTTTGGCTTTTGTAGTATACTAAAGTTTAAACTTGTCATTTTTGTCCATCATTTGCTTTTTTTGACGGTAATTACCGTCGAGACGTTCAAACTTGGGTAGCTAACTACTGCCTTGATTGTTTGTAAAACTTAAAAACAATTGTTTACATTGTCTATTCTTCAGGCATGACTCAAGTCAACATACCAAACGTCGGCCGGCTACGGGACAACATTTTTTTGAGGGTATGGCATAAACGTAGCGTTGGTCAAAAATAATCATTTTTAGAACGATGGAGCTATACGAGCAGCAAATAATCTAAATAGAAGGTCTTACCGTAAGTGTTGTACTTTTTTTGGGTACTCTACTCGTACCTCTACCTCTATCTAATCCCTATAAAAACAACTACCCCTACCTCTACTTCAAGCTTCAAAACTTGAAATTTCAAATTTAAAAACAAAAAATGATATTTTAAATTTTCTAGCCGGCTCGACAGCTCTATCAACCTCAAGATCAGCTCAAAGTTTAAGTCGCTCCACCAACATTGACAAGCCCGTAACATCAAAAACTGCCTTCAAACAGTCGATATCAGTCAACACGTTTGAAAAGGACCGAAATCAAGACATTTTAGGAGGTTGGTTTAAATTTTGAAAATTTTAAAATTTTTTGAAATTTAAGAATTTTAATTTTTTTTTAATTTTTAAAAATAAAAAAAAATTTTCTGTTGAAAATTTGGCTGGACTGAGGTTAAAACGGTTTAAAAAACCTAAGAATCAAATAAAATGTATCCTTACAGTGATTACTGTAACTTTTTTCTTATTTTTTATCTTTTTTTATATAATGAATAGTCTAAAACAATATAAAACTAAAGCATGATTCAATGTGAACAATAACAGTATATACGTCTTTGTCTTTTATTTGTCTTTTTGCCTAAAGCGCCTTATTTTTACTTTTTTTGAAGTTTTAAATGTGGATTGCACTGTGCAGAGTTAAAAAAGCGACTGCACGGTGCAATAAATTTATATTTGAATTTACAGTAGTTGGGTAGGGAAGAGAATGTTAAAAGTGATATTGTGGGTTGAGATTGTCATGTTTTAAAATATTATGTTATTCAGGGACGTCGTTTGGGGGAAGGGGGAGATGACTCCCCCCCCCCAGAGAAAAAACCGTAGCGACGTCCCTGATGTTATTAGTCTTTGTATTTTTGACGAATTGTGGTATAAAAATTTTTTGAAAATTTTTGCACAGTGCAAAACTTTTTTTTATTTTTATAATCAAATCAATGGTAAAATTCTTTTTTTAAGGTAAAAACATTAGATAGAATTAACGTATTTTACAATATAAAAAGCTTAGTTCTTTCTACTTTGTAAAGAAAGTTTTTGCAAAAAGACGTTTTATAAATTTTTGCACGGTGCAGAAACTTTGCGTTCGAAGTTTACTGTCATTTCTTAAATGAACTAGTAATAAAATGATACATATAGTTGACGTCTTCTTAAAATTCTGTATAGATGTTTTCTTTTGTAAATAAAGTTCTTACAAACAGCCGTTTTTTAAATTTTGCACCGTGCAAAAGGAAAATTAACGTTTGCATCGTGCAAAAAATTTAAAGTAATGGTTTATAGTCTAAAATACTTAACAGACAGGTAAAATATACACTAATCAATAGAAAGGTTAGCTAATAACCCGAGTTCAAGTCCACTTGAAGTCGTCCGCATTATTAATGTAATGTTTGGATTGGCCGCGCGGCGGAAGTGATTAACACATTAATTGACAGTTCCGCCAAATAATGCAAAACCCTTTTTTCCGTATTTTCTTGGGTTTTGGTCGAAAATTTTTGAAATTTTATTTTTTTGTTTTGGCTGGTTTTTTGGGTTTTTTTGGGGAGGAGGTGCACTTGAAGAAGAGGTGTGTGTAAGGGAGGGGGTGTTTTTGAATTTTAAAGTAAAAAAAACTTTTTGAAATGATTTTTTTTTCATTTTCGGTTTGATATTTTTATTTTAAATCAGATAACGGGGTAGAAGGTTTTAAAAATTAAAATTTTAAAATTTTTAATAACGTAAAATTAAGTTTTTTTTGGATTTTTATGGTTTGCTAGACTAATTGTTATTGTAAGAAGACATAACTTGTTTACTTTTTCACCTTATCTATCCAACAAAGTGGGGATTTTCGAAATTTTGTCGGAGATTTCAATCAAAAATATTTGCTAAAAAATATCTGCTAAATTTTATTTTCACAAGAAATACATGAATACTGTTATTGCTTTTTAGCATTTTATTGTTTTTATTACCTAATGTTCAAAAAAATTAAAAAATTTTTTAAAATTTGAGTTTTTAAAAAGTTGTGTCGTTTTTGGTTGTTCAAATGCACGTAAATTGACGACAAAACTTTTGAAATTTTGAAAATAAAGAAGATTTAAAAGCGTTTATTTTTTAAACTTTTCATTATAAAATTTTGATTTTTTTTGAAATTATATGTGGGTCTGCGTTCTTGCTACTACCCATACCCTATAGTCAGGGCCGGGCGGGTTTGGCCTGGGAGCGGGGGTCGAAAAAACCGGCACAGGAAATCCACAGGGGGACCACGTTCAACTTTTTTCGAAAATTTTTTCTTCTCTGGGAGGGGGGGGAGGGTATCCCCCCCCCCCCCCCCGCACAGCGCTCGGCCCTGTCCATAGCCATATCCATACCCTTGCTTTGCTCACTACCCTTACTTTTATCTCTACCCTCATTTTTTTCTCCACCCCTATGCTTACCTCTACCCTCTTTTTTGATTGCACAGTGCAGAATTTTTAAAAATATTACCTAAAATTAAAAAATTTTTCAAAATTTTGCCGAAACTCCCCTCACTTTGATATAAAAATTGTGGAAATTCGATCGGATTTGTTGGCCGAATCTCTCCTTTCGGGCTCGGATGACATATAAGATATAATAAGATATTACTCTTCCTCAATGTGTTCACCAAATGTCATATAAAAATTGTCATATTCTCGCTGATATTCATTCGAATCTCACCTCATTTCTAATTTTAATAGTCGAAATGCGGCGGATTTTTGAAAAATTTTTGAAACTTTTAGTTTTGGCTGTAAAGAAAATTCTTGCGTTTTCTAAAATTTGGGTTTATAGGTTGAAACGGTGTGTAAAGAAAGCTTTCGCACTTTTTTCAAAACTGTCAAGATTTTTTAGTCTGTAAAGAAAGTTCTTACACTTTTCCGAAAAATTTTCGTTTTTCGTTTTCTGGAAACAAAGTTATTGCGGTTTATATAAAACTTGACTTTTTGCATTTGGAAACAAAGTTATTGCGCTTGTTTCAAAAATTTCAATATTTTGTAATCGGTAAAGGAAGTTATTGCTATTTTTCAAAAATTTTGACGTTTTGTCTTTTGGAAACAAAGTTATTGCGCTAATTTCAATTTTTGCATTTGTAAAGAAAGTTATTGCGCTTTTTTTGAAAATTTCAATAATTTGTGGTTTGTAAAGAAAGTTCTTACGTTTTTATATAAAAATTTGATTTTTGGGATTGGTAAAGAAAGTTATTACCATTTTCCAAAAATTTCAATTTTTCATGGTTTGTAAACAAAGTTATTGCGGTTTTTCATAAATCTCCTTGCAGCGTTGTAAATAAAGTTTTGACACTCAAAAACGCCCCTTTCCTTACCTAATTTAGCACAAATTTCTTTCTTTTAATAATTGGAACGGTGTTTAATACGATGGCTAACAAGTTTTGTTGTAAAAGGCTTATTTTGTTTCATAAGCGATCAAAAGAAGCATTTGTAAGCATTTCGAGCGGCTTTTCGAAACATTTTCCAATTGTTTACCTTGTTTTTGGGTAACAATTTTAAAGTTTTAACTTGGTATGGGTTTAATAGGGTCATCACGTCTATTTGGCAGAGGTTGTTTTTTGTAAAATACGTTATTGTACGGTGTTGAGCTTATGATAATAGCTTGCGCAACACTCTACTTACCCTACCCTACCTTACCCTACCCTACCCTACCCTACCCTACTATATCCTACTCTACCCTACCTTGCTATACCATACATTGCCTTGTCATAACCTCCTCTATCATGCTCTACCTCATCATAGTCTATCGTATCTTATTCTACCTTACTCTAATCTACTCTATCTTACTTTACCGCATCTACTACATCTTATCTTACCTTGATCTACATTGCTTTACCTTATCGTAATGTACCTTACCCTAACATTATATATCTTACCCTTCCATATTCTGCTTTATTCTACCATATTCCATCCTGCCATACAATGCTGTACTCTACTTTATCTTGTCTACTATGCCCTACACTATCTTATACTACTCTGTTTTACCGTACCGTGGTCTGCCCTACTCTACTTTGTTTTACTCTTTCTTAACTTGCCATACTTACCAAACCATGCCACCCTCTCACTTACTTTACTATGATGCAAAATTTCTTGCAGAACGCATTGATATCACTCCTACTTCACAAAATTTGATATCTATACCTATATCATCTTGTTCTCAAAAAATTTTCATAAAAAACGATCGCGAAATGACGTGTTGCGCGAGGTTTGTGGTTGCTCGAGGCTTACGCTTAAACCGAGACGACCGCTAGCTTTTTTGTTTTCGGCCAAAGTGGCCGCAAAACGTTTGGTCCACTCGAGATCTCGACAATCATGATATCGAGAAGTGGTCGAATATATTCGAAGCTAATGATATTGTTTTAAGCGTGCTTTCACAAGTTTAAGGCGACGGAAGGGGGATGGTTTGGTGGACAAGCGGGAGGATTTGGTGGAGTAGCGGGAGGGTTTGGTGGACGAGGGATTTGGTTTGTTGGACAAAGGGGATGGTTTGGATAGCTGATGTATTATGATAAGTAAGGGCAGGGGTAGGTGATTTTTATAATTTTGGCAGGGGAGGGAGGGGTGATTTTCAAGAAAACAGCGGAGGGAGGGGTTATTTTTTATAAGGCAATAAGAGGGAGGGGTGATTTTTAAAAAGGCGCTAAGGTGGAGGGGTGATTTTTAAAAAGACAGCAGGTGGAGGGGGGGGAGTGATTTGTTAAGAAGGCCGCAGTCGGGTGAGGTTGGTAAATTTTGTCAAGGCTTTGTTACAAGGTATGGACAGCGGTGGGCGGGGTTATTCTTTAATATAGTTTATGGGGCTGGGGTGGGGGAGGGGGGGGTAAAATTTTTGTTGCATTTTTTGTATCTTGAATTGACAGGGCCCAGGGTTGGATTACAAAAAAAAATTTTAAGGGCGGGGTAGATGGGTTAGGGTGGATTTTCAACGTTATATTGGGAGGGGTGGATAAAAAATAGTATGAAAATTGGATTTAAATTCGAATGTTTTTTTTCCACTATATACCACTTTTTTGTTTCTCCCCTCTCCTTAACAAAAATTTTTACATCCCCTCCCCCTTTCTCCCCCTCCCTCATTCAATCTTGCATCTTAAAAAATCACTCTTTTCTCTTCCTCTTCAGCCAATTTATCTATTCTTTAATCATGCCTTATATAAAACTTACTTACTGTACTAACAAAAAGCCGTTCATATAGTAACAAAGCCACCTCAATAAGATTACTTTTTGATTACTTTTTCTTGTTACTTCGTCTCTACGGTCTTTATACCACTAGAATATATCCGGTTGCGCAAACACAAAAGTAAAACGATCGGCTTTGACACGTTTACAAGGCCATTTGGAACGTTGATTGGCTTATTCCAATGTGATTAATTACCTCACACGTCGGGCACGGCGGTTACATTTCTTTACTGTATATTGCAATTCTTTGCGACTTCTGAATGGGCATGGGAGGAGTGGTTTATACATGTAAAGAAGATAGCATTGGTGGGGTGGTTTACTTATGAAAAGGGCGTGTAAACTGAGGGAGAGGGTGGGCGTTTTAAAAGTTTTACTTAGGTAGGGGTAGGAGTTGGGTAGAGGTAAAGGTAGATGCAGCGGTAGGAGGATTTTCGTAAAGTTAAGCCGGTTTTTTCGGATTGTATTTTTTCTGGGCAGAGTAAAAAAATTTTTAGGGGGTGGTACATTTTACATTTTTTTGGAAATTTGTTAAGAAACAGTTTTTTTTAAATGTTTTTGAGGCAAAAACGGGCGGGGTAAAATTTTTTTTTGGATTTGGGCGGGGGGGGGAGGTGCAAGGGTGAAATTTTTTTTTTGATTTATAATAGGTTATTTTTGTTTGATTACTAGGTTTTTGACAAAAAAAATATTGGGCAGAGTAAAAAATGTTTTTTGGGGGTGGATAAAACTTTTTTTTTCATTTTTCAATCGTTTTCCACATTTTCTTAAATTTTAGCATTTTTCAAATAGAAACCTGTAAAAATGGATTGAAATCGAGACATAATGTTGATCCGAAGCGATCTTTTCCGGAATTCGATGACCAAAATGAGTCACGGATCCGAAAGCATTTATCTCACTTTTACTTTGTTTCAATAAAAGTAAAAGCGTTACGTAATTACCGGGGATCAATCGTGTTACAAAACGATTGGTATGGGTTTGGATAAGTATTTCTTTAAAAGGGTTTAAGCTTTTGGGGTTAAAATCATGAAGGAGGACCGATTCACAAAAGTTTTTTTTTTGTATTTTTTTTATTTTAGGTTTTTAAGGTCTTAAAAAGTCTGTAGAGTAACACTATACCAATTTGCGACATCCTAAATCCTTATTTTATTCAAAAAATTTATCAAAAAATTTGTCAAAAAATCAACAGGGGGACCAAGCTCAAAAAACCCAAAGCTTCTCGATTTTTGCCATTTTTCATGAAACTCGAACAGTAAAATCTTTTTAAAATGCATTTTTTACAACCGGTATTCAATATCCGATCCACCTTTATTGATTTCCCGAAATTAGGGCTTTTGCGTTTTTGGAGATACGAACTTTTACCGTGCGGTATCGAGGGAATTCGCGGGTTTTTACAGTCGGCTCTAAATACTTTTATATTCAAATTGGGCATTACGTAAAAATTTTGTGGGTTACGAACTTATTTTTAAGGTTACTTTGGCTTTTTGAGCTTATCTGTAAATTTGACGAAATGTCACTATTGATCGGGGGATGTGTACGGAATGTCCATATTGATTTTTTAAGCTAAATTTAGTATGTTGATAAGTAAAATACGTTAATCTTTCTTATTTTGTCATTTTTTAAAAGTTCAATTATTCTTACTCTATGTGGGCGAAATGTCAATATTGATTTTTTAATCTAAATTTAGTATGTTGAAAATCTGTTGTAAAATACGCTACCTTCTTGGTCATTTTTCAAAGACTTTATTATTTTAACTATATGTGGACAAAATGTCACTAGTGATTGAAACTTAGCTTACTCGTAAACTTTTTGTTTTCTGCCATTTATAGAATAGGTATGAATCGTAAAATGGAAGTAAGCCATTTTTACGGAAATGAGAAGTCGTTTTTTGTTGTTTTTCGGCTGTTTTTTTCTTTTTATTTTGGTATGATGACTTTGTTCTATTGTTATACGAAAAGCTTCCGGGAATTCAAATTTTTGAAATTTTTTTTTGATTTTTTAGTACAAATGGGTATGTACTGGACAAAATTAGTACTAAAGACTATTTTTGATTTAATTTATAACTAATTAAAATGACTATTTTTTTATTTTAAAAATTTTGATTTTGGTCACTTCAACCTACTATAATATAGCTCAAAACTTGTCAAATCCGCCCAAGTTTTTTAAAATCTTTCTTTTTTTTGCCATAGCCATATCAATAGAAATACGAAAATTTACATTCCAGTAACCATAAGTCAGTTACAATGGTAATAATCGCCTAATGGACTGTGCTTTACGACTTTCGTCGTGATCAATGTTAGTCATTCCGTTTTCGTATGTTTTTGCTTGATATCTGGGGAGTTTTTTGCTTTATATGTTATTTTAGGGTCTTGATTTTATTTTGGTGTCATTCAAAATGTTATAGATGACATAGTTTTTGTAGTTTGAATTTTTAAAGTTTGAAAAGTTTTATTTTTAGGCTATTTTTTCGAATTTTTGGCGATTTTTCCAATTTTTAGGTAACAAAAGTTGAAATTTTGAAAATTTTTTGATGTGACATTGTTGGTTATTGTCTTTGTCATCATATTTACGTTGGTTTGTCAAAGTTTCCAATTAGAACCGCGAGCTTTCTTATTTATTATAGAGGACATTGACCCAAATTTCGTCGTTCCGCATATTCAAATAGCCTCTTCCAGGTTTCAACCTCAAATTTACTCTGTCAAATTAGCATTGTCTTTTTGGGAATTGTCTTGAAAATGTTTTACATTGGCTGGTTTTTTAAATTTAAAAAAAATTTTTTTTTAATTTTGGTCGGTTTTTATATTATAGTAGGGTGGGAGGTGGTATGAGAGGGTCGGCAAGGGTACGGTAGCTTAGAGTAGGATGGATTAGGGTAAAGTTGGTAGGATATGCTATTATGAATTCAGTTAGTTTACGGTAGACTACTGTAACATACTAGAACCTCAATCTTTACTCATTTCGCCATTTTCTTCTCCCTTATATTGCGATCTCTGATCCGATACGTGCTTATTGTATCTTGATTACAGTATCAGATGTATAACAATGTCTACGACTCTCCACACTTCTACCAAAATCCACTACAGTACCCTCCAAATCAAAGGGGACCATCTTGGACTAATGGTACGAATGGAAATGTAGGTAATGGTCCTGGATCAGCCAACAATAATGGAACATATAGTACTCAAAATGGAGGTACAGTACCATCAGGATCATATAATGCTAATCATAATGGACCTACAGTACCAACAGTACCATATAATAGTAATTCAAATGGACCTACAGTACCAACAGGGCCTACTACAGACCACAGAATCCCAACACACTACCAGCCTCGAGTACATTACCGTGACGATCCTACTGTAACATACGAAGCTCCGAAGTCAGCACACCGTCCTCGACCAGCATCGACCGGTCGAAAGCCACAACGACGGTCCGTAGCGGCGTTACAGGACCTACAACGATACTTTCAGCCTCCACAACAGAGAACGGTACCAGACAGTACCAATTTCAACCCAGCCGCTTATCAGGGCTACAGTATGGCTCAGGGGTATGGTACTCAACATGGCTTTGGTACAAACGCTCAAGGATTTGGTACCAATCAGAAAGGCTTTGGTACTAACCATGGTATGTATGGTACAAATGTTCCTTTTGGTACACACCAACAAGTCTTTGGTACCAATCACCAAAATTTTGGTACAAATCACCCTACCTTTGGACCCAATGGAGGCTATGGTACCACATTACCTTACAATACCTCAACCATGCCGAGAAGTCGAAAAAATCGACCGGTTGATAATAATCGAAGAAAAAGCGTCACAGATGACGGACGACAAAACATTTTTCAATGGTTCAAGTACAAGATGACACGAAACGATGACGATCGACGAGTCTATGCCTCAGGGTCTTTGCCAAGAAATTTCGCGCTGAGAACCCACAGTCCAAGGTCTCATAGTGTACCACGCAAAAAAGAGGCTAGGCCTGGATTGGGGGCCTTAAATGGGCGTGGTAATTTTGGTAATACGGGGCATGGTGCTTTTGGTGGTACTGATCGTATTGGTCATGGTACTCTTGGTAGTACTGGTCATACTGAACATAGCACTTTTGGTAATACCGATCGTACTGGCCATGGTACTCATGTTAATACTGCTCGTACTGGTCATACTGTTTTCGGAGGTAGTGCTGATAGAAATGGTCAATTCATATATGGACCAGGTGCTGGGCTACCAAATTCAAGCCTAGAAAGAAGCCAAAATAGCCAAGAAAGAAATCAAAGAAGCCATAACACCCAAAGAAGACCTTCAACTCACAGCCCAAGTAAAAACAGTATCAATCCTTACGGACAAAGAGTATCAAACGACTCAAAAAGTCCAAAAAGATCACTAGAAAGGATTATTCTACCCGATATTAAGGATGGAAATCAAAGTCTAGGCCAGAAAAAGAGTGCTCAAGGCCCCGAAAGTCGAGGACTTGGCCAACAAAGCGAAGCCAGACGTACTGAAGACCGTGCACAAGATATTACAAAGAAAGTCAGATCAATATCACCGGCCAAAAATGGTATTAAGAACCAGTTTTCGCCAGAGCCAAAGAAGAGGACTAGTGTACCAATTAAAGACCAAAAAACTCAAAATCCACCCCCAAATAAAGATCGACATAGCCAAAATCCACCCCCAAATCAAGCCCACGCTTGCCAAAATCTCAACTCAAGCCATGGTGAATACTATGACAATCATAACCCTATGATGTATGGCTACTACAATATAGGACGAGACCAAATTGATGGTAATACTGGTACACTTCGATCAAACAACGGTACTCTGACAAGAAAGAGGATCATAAGGTACGATGCTGATGGAAATCCAATCAATAATAGTGTGGTACAGAATGAATACACAGCTTGTCCAATGGGTAATGAACATGGCTTGAGAAGAGATGGTTTTGTTATCAATTCAGATGAGTCTGTTACTGAGAAGAGCCCATTTTTAGGTAATACTGAGGAGTTTTTGGTCAGAAACGGCGATTTTTCGTCCAAAAATGATCATTTATTACCTAAAAATGACGATTTCACCTCCATAAGCCACTTATATCGACTAGAAAACCCAAATTTCAACTCACTACACCATCCACAATATCCCACATTCAGCAATCAACCCTTCGACTCAACCACCGACTTCCCACCAGAACCCCCACCAGACTACTCCGACCGTAGCGAGCCTTCAGAATCCCGCTCACCGTCCCCATTCTCACAACCTCCACGAGTACGATTCCGTTTCCCAAGTGCTGACGACATTCACAGTGTAAAACGAGATGATAAACTGGAAGAAACGGTCGAAACTGTGTCACAGCCTAAGGGCTTATGGGCTAGAACCTTTGATTTGAAGATCTACAAGAAGCTACGACCGCTGATTCAAATCCGAGGTGTGAAAGTTGATGAAAAAGAGATTGGTAAGGAGAGAATGAAGGATAATATTGAGAGGAATGGAGGGAAAATGAAAGAGAATGCCGAGAAAATGGAAAAGACCAAGGATAATATGGAGAAACAGGGAAGTAAGGTCAAGGAAAATGGAGGTAAAGGCAAGGAAATTGACAAAAACATGAATAAGATGAAGGAAATGGACAAAAACAAAATTAATCTTGCTTTTATTTGCGACACCGACAAGATTAACATTAATGAAAAGCGTTCATCCACTTTTGAAGATCACAAGTCAAGCCTAAAACAAGGTCAAGCTAAAGAAAAGGGTGAAAAATCAAGCCTAAAACAAGATTCAAACAAAGCCAAAGATCAAAAATGTTTAAAAATATTAGAATCTGGCCTAAAATCAGAAGGAAATAACAGAGAAAATGAAGAAAATGGGTCAAAGATAGATGGGAATGGCTCAAAACTCGACGGAAACGGCCTAAACCAAGGAGAAGATGGCTTGAAATCAACTGAAAAACCTTCAAAATCTATTAAAATTGACTTGAATTCGACTGAAACAGATGTGACAGTATCTAAAGATAACGATACATCGAATCAAGAATCTATAACAAAGCCAGAAAGTTCAAAAGAATCAAAGAAAAAAGGAGGAACTTTCAGGACATCCAAGTTTTTCGACTCTTGGAACGAGAAAAAGGCTTCAAAAGCTAAGATTTTGGCTTCTGAAAAGACTACAGAAGATAACAAAGCTTCTAATTCAGTAGCCAAAGGCAGTACCATCAAGTCGTCTCCAGAAGTCAAGCAAGAAACAATAAAATTAAGGCCAATACCACCAGATCAATCCAAAAAACCAACCGAAAAACTGAAAAATTCGGCGGAAAAAGCGAAATTATCGGTTGAAAAGTTCACAGCCGCAGTAAAGGAATCATTGAAGAATACCCAAACTGATCAACCAACTCTAGCCGAGACTATAAACCAGCCAGCGAGTATATTACTCAACCAGTCTGGCAAGAAACGACGAGCTCCCGACCCTCCAATGCTACCTCAAAGTCAGTACAGTGAGCTTCAGAAGCCCAAGAAGATGGACTTAAGAACTGATGTTTTAGATGCGGAAATAGCGTTAAAAATGGCAGAAGATGCCTATATGAATCATTATGTTAACCATGAGGTCGTTGAGAAAAAAGATTTGTCAAATGATATTAAGGATGGTTTTGCTGGAAACAATAGATCAGGTGAGGTGTATAACAACAAGATCAAGACCAATATTGATCTAAATGGCTCAACAAGAAGAGAATCAACTAATCCTACTGTAAATTACGTAGAAATACGACCAGATACGACTCATCTACCTCATTTCCCACTAACAACATCTTATATTCACCATGATGATGACAATGCCATTTCTAATGTTGTGTGCTATAATGATAACCTCGGTGACATACAGAGCAAAGGTAATAGTATTGACTACTATCACATTAAAAATGACAGTAATAACTTGAATACGACAGGAAATACGATGAGATGTTTAGAAAGTGCGAATGATTTCATGGTTAATATAGAAAAAGGTCCAGAAGAAAGGTTTAGGGAGACCGATGGTTCCAAAAATGGAAATGTAGATACAACGAAGTCTCAGTTATCGAATACAGTACTCAGATACGATCCAAGTAAAGGTACGCTAGTGGAACATAGCCTGAAATCGGGTGAAAGAGAAGAACCTACCATCAATGCTGGCCTTCAAACTCAAAAATCGATAAGCATGACTACAACAGCTCATTATAATGGACAAAATCAACAATCTACAGGCGAGTACCGTAACCTAGAATATTTTATACGACAAAAACCAAGTAATTATACCCAAAATTTCAAGGATTTTCAACGAAAAACCGAGGAAAATCGACGAAATTCAGCCAATTTACCTTCATTTTCTGGCTCAACTACTGTTGTACCAATGAATTATGATGGTAATACTGTGAGTTATGACAATAATACTAAGAAGAATGTCAATGATGCTAAGATGAATGAGTATGTCGAACAATATGACAATAACACACCTTCTACATCAGAGTACAAAGAAATCTCTAGCTTCAGGAAGAGAGGGCCTGGAGCGTCTGAAACTTATGGTAGAGAAGGAAGGGAGCCAGAAGCTTATCTTGGAGATAATGTGGCTTCAGAATCTCATCGTGGATCCAATTTGACTTCAGAATCACAAAGAAAACTCAATTTGGATTCAGAATCTCATCGTGAAGGCAATCTGGTTTCAAAATCCATCTACAACACCAGCATGGCTTCAGAATCCTTCCTCGACCAAAATATGCCTTCAACCTCCAACTACAATTTAAACACGACTCCAGAATCCCTCCTCGACTCAAATATAGCCGCGGAATTCGAGAAAATCCAACAAAATTTGCAAAAATCCGCTGATGCCCTGAGGCAAACGGACCAAATAATCAGCCGGCATGACGGATTAACACAAAAAACAGCCCAAATCGCCCAGTCCGGAGTGTGTTACGTTGGCGGCGCTCGCATCGAATATCAGCTGGACTTGAGCGACGGCCCGCTGATCGTTCATTTCCAGACCAAGATGGGTAATATCGTGTGTGGCGGAGGGGAATTGCCGGAGAATGGTGATGCATACACGTGGACTAATCAACTACCGGCCAAGGGGGTTATTACTGGTAAGGTTCGGGCGGGTTTGGGGGGGGGGGTGTAAATGTAGTTTTAGGATGATTTTGCTGGGTATTAGAAAAGTTTTGGTCGATTTTTGACCTAAAAAGTCAATTTTTTATAAAATTTAGATAACAAAAAATTTAAAATTTACCTCAGTCCAGCCAAAACTACTAAAATTTTAATGTTTTAGGTAGAAAAATAACCTTAAATAGCATAAAAATGCTTTTAAAACTTGAAGTTTAAAAAAAAATTTCAAAAATTTTAAAAGTTTTAAATTCTCGAAAAATTTGTATTTTTTCAAATTTTAATTAAAAACTTCATTTTCAGACCTAGACTATGGACCAGGAATTGTGCAAAAGCTCCGCGAACGCTTTGCCAAACTATCCTCAACTCCACGAGCTGAACAACAAATCAACCAACAGCCAAAACGACGATTCGCTTCTGTTGAAGCACCAAAACAACATCAACACATCGAAAATGGCTTCCAAACACTTCCGAGAATGGAGTAAGTACTATTTTTTAATTAGAAAAATCAGTTTTTAAATTTTCGAGAAGTTACTGCACTGTGCAGGACCATTTTTTTAATTGATTGCACCGTGCAAGCTTTATTTTTACCCCACTGCACTGTGCAAGCCCAATTTATTACTGACTGCACCGTGCAAACCCCTTTTTTATCACTGCACGGTGCAGTCAAAAGTGAAATCGCAAAGGTGTGGGATTTTGTTAGGAGCTTCCGAACATTCTAGAATTCGCGACATAGGTTCCCCAGTCTTCCGCAGCTGGACGCTCTGAATTTGCGCAATCTTTTTTCTTCCTTCAAATCCCTCGAATTTCATTTGTCGTCAAATCTCTCGCGATTTCTTTGCTTCGTTGGCCATCTCTTGGTTTCCTTTGATTTATACCGGGGTATCGCGACTGCACTGTGCGGCAACTTTTTTTTGACAGGGAAATGTGGCTTGCACTGTGCGGCAACATTTTGAATGGGAAAAGTGGCTTGAATAGCGTAGTTGACTTAACTAGACTTTGCACTGTGCAGGCGGATAAAAAAGGGGTTTGCACGGTGCAATCGGTTTTATTGTTATTTGCACGGTGCAAAGGGTTTTCTCAAAAAAAGGTAAAGATTATTGATGAATCTGAGAAACGTTTTGAATTAGACCTGGAGAGAAAATATGGTTTTTTTAAACTTTTTAAGTAACGAAAATTTTTTTTAAAAATTTTAATTTTTTAAATAATAATGTTGCATTTTTAATGTTATCCTTGACGTTTTTGATTAATTCAAAAAGTTAATTTGCCTTAAATTGGCCAAAAAACTTGTAAACTATTCTCAAGACTTCAATTAATCTTTTAACATCAATAGTATTATACTACATCGGCCAATTCGGCCAATAAATCCATTGGAATTGGCCAAGAACACCAAAATTTTCCTAAAATTTCAAAAAATAATCAAATAAATTACCTTTTTTCAGCACGACCCAGATATCCGATTGCATGAATTCGGCATCATCAACAGGCTACAGTTCGGAAGAGTCGAATCCATCAGAAGCCAGCTTCAAATCCGACTCGAAATCACAAAAATCGAGCGGAACTTCGGAGGATCAACTGGAGAAACCCGAAATCTCGGATCCAACTCAAATCGTGCAGCCAATCCGATCGTTGCGCGAGAAATTCGAACGTCAAAACGTGAATCAGAATCCGACAAAGAATGTACGAACTGTGGTAAGTTGGATTATGGACCTTATTTTAGGAAAAAAGAGGGTTTTGGAGGTTAAGGGCGGCTACTATAATATCGGAGCAGTGAAAAAAATAGTTTGCAAAAATTATTTTCGAATTTTAAAATTTAAAATTTTTTTTTACATCAAGAACGCTAAGTTTTGAAAACTTTTTCATTTTCGGCCGAAATCGAACGAAATAGATATTTCAAGCTGTGCCCTGCGTTTTATAGGAAGTTGCAGCCTGCAGTATCGTACATATTTGGTGAAATATGGGTAGTTTTATGAAGGGAATAGTCAAAGTGGTTTGTAAATGGTATATTTTTGAAAAAGGCACTGAATTTAAAAAATCTTGACAGTCTTATAGATATTGATATTGTTTTAGAAGGTATAACGCTTTTTAACGCCAATACTTGTATACATCAGCTTATCCTTAGTTGCATTGTACGTTTGTGTATATGTTGTGTAGTAATAGTGTTTGTTTAGTATTCACCACGATCTTCTTCATGCCACACCAGCCTTGTCGCCCAGTATCCGCCGAAGAAGTCGACGAGGAAGAATAGCGAAAGTACTGTAACATTTGACAGTACGAGCGAAATCAGTACCAGTAGCAGCCAAAAAGCACCATTAAGGCGACTTTCGAAGCCCCAGTTGGCTGTACCTACATTTACTACGGAATACGGAGTTAATGGAACTTGTAGTCCTAATGGGAAGATTTTGACGAGGAATGGTACCAATAGCAATTCGTCGAGTTCTAGTACAAAGGAAAGTGGGTACAGTACTGGAAATGCAACTGAGAGTATTAGAAGTAGTCGTAGAAGCTCAGAAAGTAGCCGGGCTGGATGTTACGTGCTCCCAAATGACCGAAATCACCTTCAAAATGGCAGAGAACAGCTCCAAAAGGACCACAATTGGGAGAAAAGTCAAAGAAACGACCTCCCAAATAGTACTACTAGGACTCAAATCAACGTGAAATGTATTCAACATGTCGGAAATGGTAATGAGAGTAATGGAAACGAGAGATTCAAAGTGGATGTTCAGAAAAAGAGCATGGTATCATCTCCACCATCACCCCAGTCTTCGACCAGCGAATGTCCATCGACCAAAAGTAACGAACAAGAGGTAAAAACCAGGAAAATTTTTAGTATAATAGACAAAAAATTAATCATCAGAGAAGTTGATGCTCATGTCGATGGGGATTTCGACTATTTTCCGGTATTTTAGATTAAAAGCTTTAGAATAGCTTCTTAATTTACATCCGTTTATGGAAAGCCTTATTTTACAACCAAAATTAAAAAATTTCGAAAATTCTTTTTGTGTAAAGTGTAGCAAAAATACTGTAGAATCTTTTATGATAACAGAAATTTACTTTAAAAACTTGAAAGTTAACTTATAACTCAAAAGAGACGATATTAACCATGTTATACTAACATAAATTCGTTGTAACTAACTAATAAACAACTAATACCTCTCAGTATGGTGATTGTAACAACCGCTTGGGTGCTTTCTGTTTGCTGTGTGTGTTTTTTTCGTTTGCTTTACTCTATGTTGAGTTATGTTCATTATTCGATATTATACTAGACATCTAGATCCCCTCAACTTTGAAGCACAAAAACTGTCAAAAACTATAATACAAAAGGACGGATTTATAGTTAAAACAGCAAAGCACTGTCTGCTGACAAGATTAAATCCATTTCCACTCATGTCTAGATTCGATTTTTGGTAAAAAATTGTTTTCAATATTATCCAACTACTTGATCTAACGCTTCGTAACAAGCCAGCTCACAGTGTAATAAATTCGGAATTGGTGAGTCAGAAGTTTGCCAGATTCATTCGAAATGGACAAAAAATGAAATTCTGTGAATTATTTCACGTAGTTGGGAATTGGCGAGGAAAACACGTCTTTTTTGATAGAAATACCTAGTGTAATATATATATATATTATGGTTTTATGGTAAAATACGTCTTGCCCAACACTTTTTGACAAAGAATAATATTTTGCATATTATTGTCATTTAAAGTCTTTGCTTTTACTGGGTTGGCATAAAAAGTTTAATTTTCCTCGTATAAAAATCCCACTCGCGTCCAGCCTTCGCAACCTGCGCAGTTTTTTTTGCGGGAAATCTCTTTTTGCCGCAAATTCATGACAATTTTTTCAAAGAAAAACAAATTTTCTTGTTAATTTTGAGAAGAATATAAGATGTTATCGTTTATTCATAGTATTTTATGTTAACATTTATTTTTGAGCCTAATATATTGTTTTATGTTATCTTCACCTTATCCTTTCGAATTTTGATCTCTAACACAATATTTTGAAGGTTATCCTTGTTGTTTTTGTTGCTTTACAATGTAAACATGTTAATCCAACTATTTACGCAATTTTTAGAACACATTAAACTTGTAAACATTTGTTTAGGAACATTTATTTGCCAAAAAGCAAGTGTAATATAATTTGATGTGAAACATGTTATTCTCTTTCATTTTTTTTTGCTATAATTTTAGGTAATTCTTGGTATGTAGAGCACGATATTGTTGTTTTCTATCTTTTCATAGCAATTATCGTTGGTTTTGAAGTCTGTTTCCGTGTTAAATGTTGTGTTTTGTGGAGGGACATCAAAATAATGTGTGATATTTTGATGTTCCCTTCGAAGTTTGGCTCTAACTTTTAAATTATTGTGAACTTTAAAGGCCAAAATGGATTTGAATTCAAGTTTACTGCAAGAATCAGAAGAGAGGAGGGTGTTTGAGAAGGCACCAACGATGTCACTGCTGCCTCACGATCAAACCTCAGGATCTACATTGGCTTCGATTGGGGAAATGGAGATGAATCCGGAAGATAGGACGAGATTAACACCGAAGAATACACAACCAGCAAAGCCAGTATTCCCATCAACACCAGATTCAGTTGTGTTAAGGCCGAGGAAGCGAAGGTCGAGCATTTCGAGGTTTTTCTCGAGGATATTCGCCTGCGCTCATCCCCAGAAGACGAAAGGCAGTGCCAGAGTGAGTCGATTACATCAAGAACATCGGAATTCATTGACGATAGAGAATTCTACACCAAGGAGGAAGAACAGGAATAGTTTGAAGGTGCTTTTTGGTTTGGTTTGCTTTTGTTTTGCTTGATATTGTTTTATTTAGGGTTATTGATATTGCAGTTGATATTTTATTGTTGCTTTTTGATTTTGCTTTGCGATTTTTAGCTTTTTAGTTGTGAAGGAGTGTGGTGAAGGTATTTTAAGAATAATTTTGGTAACAAAAGCTGTAACTTTTGCGTTTTTAAGGCGTTTTTTAAGGGATTTTACACTTGCATAAGTAGGAAAGTAGCCAAAATATAAATTATTTTGAAGAAATTGGTAAATCTGTTCTTTAAGAAAGATAAAGAACAATATAGTGCTGGTGTGACGTAAGATATAGACTTTTTAAACGTCATGTTATCGAGTTATGATTAAATTTGTCAAGGATAACATGAATTTTAGGTCATACTATTCTTAAATTTTTTTGAGTAAAAATTGAAAGAAAAGGGATAGGGATTTAATATTTAAAAGTATAAAGATTTATTCAAAACGGTAATAATTTTTTTATTTTAGACAAGTGATGACATGGAAAGCATAATAAGCCAAGACGAATTCACCGTGCCTCCTTCACATAACGCGACGTACCTCAAAGCCGGGCTTTCGCCTCGACCAACTACAATATCCAACGGTTCAGAAACGCCAACTTCTCGCTTCGTCGACTCAAAAGCTTCAGCAGAACAAGCACGAGCAGCATCTGGAGCCGACTTCATGGCATCAAAGATATCAGTTCCATCGATATGGCCCAGTGATAACGCGTCACTGAAGAGCAACGATCCTTTGATTCGAATGGATTCGGACGTCAGAGCAGCTACAATTCTAAACAGGGCTATTGAAGACTCACCTGAACTACCACCACGACCTACATCATTGTGTTTGGGGAAGAAGGATGTTAAACTTGGCGCACCGGGAATGACACCGATGAATGAGGTGCCAGAATGCAAAAAGAATGCTCTCAAAGATGCAAGTGCGATGGCTGAAGTCCACAAACTGCTCCAGAAGTTCAATACAAAGCGATCAGCAGACAGTGATGACGAGAGAAGCGTCGCTTTACCAAAAGTTGATGGTGGATATGAAGGTAGGTGGTTTCTTTATTGTTTTCATGTGTTTAGGTAAATTGATGAGAAGTAGACTCTAGGCCGTAGTATTCGTGAAGTATTTTTCCATTTTTGTTTTTGAAAAAATTGGTTTGTTGTCAAAATTTTGAATTTTTATATTATACTTTATGGGTTGATGTTAGAAAAATTGTTGGAAAACTAAAATTTTCAAATTTAACAAACCTTTATTATTTTGGAAAGTTGGAAAAGAGTATAAAGAAGAGTTTGTTAACATCTGATAGTATTTGTAGCATGGGTTGTTTAGTTAAAATTAAATCTTACATGAATAATATTTTTGAGGGAAAATTTAAAAATTAATCGATTTTTTACTTTTTTTTGAGGTGGGAGCACTTTTGCAAGCTTGCAGACAAGAAACTAATAAATAGCCAGCAAAAAAAGTTGAATTAAATTATACTTATATTCAAAAACAATCAACAGCAATGTTCATAAATTAAATTACGTCTTGCAAAAGCGGAACTAACAATAAATATTCAAGTTGAACAGACAGTAAATAATCAATTGATAAATCAAGAATTAATTAAAGCTTAAAAAATTACTTTATGAGACTAAAACAAAATTATGACTTCTTTTTGTTGTTTAACCAGTTGTAACCACATGTAAAATTCAAGAACACCTGGCAAAAGTAAATTGACTCTATTTGGTTAGACGAGTGTCATTTGAATTACAAATTTGGTTATCGGAAAGCGTGGAACTTGTGATATCGAATATTTAAAGTATGACAGGTATTTTTTGGTGGTTGTCTTGTTAGGGCGGGTCTGCCACTAAATTATTGGTTTGAAGTTTTGAAGAATTTCTAATATATCTGAAAGAAAGTTTAGGTAATTCGCCTCGAGTTGTTGTTGTAGCAGTTTTGATCAAGTATAAAGTGGGAGTTAGGGTTGGGTAAGGTAGGGTAGAGTAATAATAGAGTGGAATAAAATAGATCACGGAAGACTATTCTAATGATTTCAATCACTGATTCAAGGTCTTCAAAGATTGTTCATGAATTTATATTTATGTGGGAATGTGTATTTTTTCATTGTCACGCTTCCGGAAGTTACATATATTGTGTTGGTCATGGGGAATAGTGATAAAAATGGTTTAAAAAATGTTTTCGAACGGGAGTTTAAAGATCTTGTATTCAAAGTTTGCGTTTTATGTTTAAAAGTGCTGGTTTAATTTTATCGGATGACTAGACATGTGAAGGGGCTGGGCCCTGTTTTTTGGCTCGGCCTCTTTTGGTTTCTTTAGCCTAGTTTTACCCCTGAGCTCAGCTTTTGACAAAAGTAAAAAATCCTATTTAAATTTACAAAAAACATGTAAATTAGCCTCACGAGCTATCCTCACAAGCCTACTAAAATTGAGAGGTAAACCAAGCAGTAGTCGCTCTATTCAAATATCATTGAAATTCGATCTCCGCTTCGACGTTTTTCCCGAAAACTTTCTCCGAGCGCGCGATTTCACCTGCCGTGAGATTATTTCGAATTCATATCAGTGCTAGGAATCTCTGTTGTTCTGTTTCTCGGCTTCAGTTTTTCTTGTTTTGGCAGCTTTTTTTGCGAATGTTTTGAGAGAGGGTTTGAGTGGATTGAGTGAAAATTATTGTTATAATTTAACAATAAGGGTTTAGTTTTGACAGTTTTAAATAAAACAATAAATGGTTTCAAGTGTTCTTCTGTAAATGGTTGTTGATTTATTGGTTGTCGGTTTGGTCGTTGAAAGTTTTCAATTTTTTAATAAACCTTCTTGGCTTTATGTTCAGTTTTCTATGGTGTTCTATATTTTTCTTGTTTTATGTATTTTTCTATAGTTTTGTTTGTACAAAATATTCATAAAGACGTATATAAATCACTATGGTTTAGTTTTTATTACTAGTTATTAAAATTTGCATTCGAAAAGAGGCTTTGGCGGGCTATTTTTATGATTTTTTTCTAAAGCCAGATGGCTGAATAACGTGACACTGATCGTCAGGCAATAATTCTCTTTTTAATTTAGGTTTTTTGTCTTCTCGTTGAATTTTGGTTTGTAATGAAATCTTTTCCTATGCTGTTAAACAGAATTTAAAAAAATTAACATTGGACAGTCATTGATGATTGAAATGGTTGTTGCAGTTTTGTATGTCACCTATTGGTTCTATTATCTTCTTCTTGAATTCTATAACATAAATTCGTATTCTGATGTGTCGTGAGTTTTTTTTTATTCTCATGTTTTATGTCTCGACGACTGGAAAGTGTCGATTACGTCGATGACCTTTAAGCCGGTCGAATTCAGGTCGTTGTTTTTGGCGGTTTTATTGCTTTTCGAATCTGCATAAAAATTCGCGAAACATCCCCACCTTGATTTATATTCGATTTGATTGAAATTAGAGCTGGATTATGGGTTGCGGCTTCTTTATTGATCTGAGTGAGCAATGAATGACAGGTATATGACGTCTTGTTTTGAGCTTGTTTGCTAGCTTTTCGAATTGAAGGGAGATTCTAATTTTGAGCATTGAAAAATTTTTGATTTTACTGTTATAGGGTAAAATACGATTTGATCAACTGAATGAATGGGTTCATAATTGGTTTTATTTGTCTTTTCTGACGTATATGGGGTACTCTCCACAAATACAGTTGAAAAATCAGTATTTGTGAATGTAAACTCGACGTATCATGTAGTTAATGACTTGAAAAGGAGTGTAATGTCCGCCAAGTTAATTGTATCGGCATTTTCTTTTTATTTGGAGGTTTGACCTACTTCTTACACAATATTTATTATTTTGCGAACATTGACAGTTTCGGACAAGTTAATGGCGTTCTGAAGGTGGTACGTCGAAAATGGGTTGTCTTTAAGGATTTTTGTGGTTAGGCTTATTGTTAGAGGATTCTGGTGACGTCTTTTTGGATTCTAATGAAGATATTAGGTTGACGATAGGTTGAAAAGATTTTAAGATTAACAGTTTGTTAGTAAAAGTTTAAGGATTTGAGATTCTATAGACGTTATGACGGTTATACGTTAAAATGTTCTTTGCTAACGCATATTGCTTTAGTTTGGTAACTTATAATTACACCCGCGCTTTGCGTTATGGTATATCAATAGCTAATTGAAGGCTACGTAGAGAGGTAGTTATTAATCTTTTGAACGTTCTTTTTTATTGCGTAAATCGTATGTAGTATCTACAAGTTGTTGGTGTGTGTCGTGGTTGTAGGGGGTTCTATAAGCTTATATAGTAAAGGTTTTTTAGGGTTTTTATGACATATTTTACATTTTTCGAATATTTTTTAGTATAAGAAAGCTGTTTTTTATAATTGAACACGTCACGATACGTTTACATGATAACAGGTAGCACATAACTCATGATTTCGTAAAATGTTGTTTAGAGGTTCTGCGAGTCGAATTTGATTTGTTGATGCTTGTGAAGGTCGAATGTTTTTTTTCAATAGAAGGCAGTTTTTTCGTTAGGTCTAGTTTTAAAATTATTTTTAAATATATAAATTGGTTGAATGAATCGACTGGTATTTTTGTATTTCTAAAAAATGATGGAAAGTTTTAACAAAGTTTTGAATTTTACAGTCATCCATAATATTTGATCTTATTAATGATTCGTTTGCAAGATTATTAGTTTGTGTACATTTCACTGTCTTTTCGTGAAAATTCAAGGTGCTATCGTGGTTTGTCTGATGGTTCGAACTCGTAAAGATGACTGTTAAAGTGGTGATTACGTCATAAGGTTTTACGATCGCTGATTAATGGGCTCGATATCTCAAGTGCTAACAAGGATAGGTGGCGTGAAAGTTGGTATTCTGAATCAGAGGTTGGGTTTTACTTTTACTTTTCCGGGTAGTTCTTTTGTTTAAGGTAGATAAGCGGTATATATAAGTAATTGGGCTTGATATACAAAAGCAGTTGTGCTTGTAAAGTTCGGTGACCAAATATGTGTAGTTTGAAAGCATTGAGATAACAGTAGCAATAAAATTTCTCAAATTGTTCTTCAGCTGTAAAAAACCAGATACTCTTGCATTTTTTACAATTGTTTCTCAACTTATCTCTCAATTGAATATGTTTTATCAATTTGTAAAAGTTCCTATCGATAAGGTTTTTTTTTCAATCTATAATTAGTTCATTATCAAGACATTGAACAAAAAGTCATTATCACAAGGACGAACAATGTTCAGCGTTCCTACGCAAGCCTATTTAAGGGATTAGAATTTGCAAAATTGATGCGTTTACACTTATCAAGAGACGACGATTTTTGAATTTTGAGCGAGAGGAGGCGTGCTGAGAACGTTGCTCGGGGTCTTGACGTGATTGATAAGTTGTTAGTGATTTTTAAATGCTAGAAGAGGTTTTTTTCGTCAGGGTTCGTGGTTCTAGGCTTCGGAGTTTTTTTCTTATAATGTCTATATAGGTTTTATAATGTAAGATGTTGAGTTGTTTGACTTTCTAATAAGGTGGATGTCGATTGTTTTGCTTATCGTTAGGTACTTACACTTTTGTAATGTAGCAAAAAGACTATTTTCCGATTTTAGTTCGAATGGTCTTAATAAAGATACTTATTAAGTAAAATATGCGGTCCTGGCAATTTTTTCGAAGTAAAGACTAACTTTTAAAATCAGGTTCTTAATTCCTTGAAAAAAGTTGACTCCAGATTTGTAGAAAGTCCGAACTCACCAAAACCCAAATCCTCTGAATCGACCGTTTCGAAACAGCATTATAGTCAAGATATATTCGTAAGCTCCTTAAAAGTCATGCGATGTGTTTCAGGTCAATCGCCGCTACTTTCGCTCTCGTCGTTTTTTGTTTGTTGTTTCAAACGGAAAAAACAAAAAAAAAAGATTTGCTTGTCGTGTTTGTTGTTATCAGTAGGGAGCGCCGGTTTTGTCGGTAATATTACGGATTATGATTGTTTTAATGGGCACGAGAGAGGTTTTCACTAGGTTTGGCTCTTTTTTACGAAGCTGGGACGGTGTTTTAATGAAGTTTTTGGTGGGGTAGATTAATTTTTCTTTATTTTTTAGCTTTAAAAAGGAAAAGTAAATAAGATTTGGCTTCTATAGGTGCTAGCAAATAAAGTAAATAGGATTTGGCTTTTATAGATGTTGTTGTCGTACTTGAGTATTATATTCATTAGGGTATCTGAAGAGATTTTGACCTTTATAGACTTAACAATGGCGATAAGATCAGAGTTTCATTGTGAAGCTAGTTTTAAAATGCTAATTCAAATTAGGTTCTAAAATTTGAAAGATTCTGGTGAAGCCGTCAAAACCGTACCGTTAAAAACAGACGAAATCGGAAAGAAAAAACTGGATTTTTCTTTTTTATTTTGTTTTTTTTTCATACAAACACTCAAAAACATCCCGATGATCTTCTCGGTTTTTTACAATAATCGGAATACCGCTACTCATATAGTCACTCAGTTAGTCATAAAGGCTCGATTTGGAGCTGGAATGCCTGTTTTTTGGGGCTTTGGTTTGGTCAGAGTCTCTTTCTTTGTTTATTTGTTAGTTTGATGACATTTTGAAGCTAAGAATAGAAAAAAGTTTATTTATAGTGGAACGCTTGTATTAGGTGATTGCAAAAGTTTCTGGCCGATTTTTCAAAAAATTTTTTTTTAAATTTTGCACTGTTCTAGAACTTTCTGTTGGCAACCTGTATAAAGAGGTGTCCAAGGACTAAAAACTATTGCATGTTCAAGCTTTCTGTTGTTTACGGTAGTTCAAGAAATCAAGGTGAAACAAAATCATGTTCGGCCAGTGTTGTTTCTCAAATTCCGCAATCACGGCAACGCAACAAGAGCGTCGTAGAAAATATGCAGTGCTGTAGGGCCCTTAGTTGTCTCTTACGACACCACAAAAGTTTGGTTCCACAAGTTCAAAAACGGTGACTTTGACATGTCCGAAAAGTTCGATCTGGTAGACCATCAGCGTTGAAGAAACCCCACCTTCTGAAGCTGATCGAAGAAGACCTCCGAGGAACCTGTACTTATTTGACTGTAGAGCTTCAGTGTGACCCCTCTACCACATTAATTAGACTTCACGCCCTTGGGAGATTACGGAAATATGGTCAAGAAGTCCCACATGATTTGAACAGCGACCAGCTGAACGTCGAGTAGGGGTTTGCACTTGTTTGTTGGTGCTCGCAAGGAACTTTGAATGGCTTGACAATTTGGTTACTGGGGATGAGGAGTGGGTACTGTATGTTAATCACACCAGTAAGAAACAATGGCTTGAACGTGGAGAACAGGGTGTAACAACCTCAAACCTGATGCTCACCCAAAACCAAGATGATCAGCTTTAGCTGGAACTCAACGGGTATTGTGTACTGGGAAATGGTAGCACATGGAACTAAGATTCCTGTGGATGTCTACTGTAGACAAATTAAATCTATTGCGGCAGCATTGCATGGTAAACAGAATCTGGTCTTCTTCATTCATGATACTGCTTGCGCCCTTGTGACAAAGTTGACCCAACACAAGCTCAAAAGCCTCGGCTGGACTGTGATGTCATATGCACAGTACTCACCTGAGGTTGCACTAACAGATTATAATATGTTCCACTCTCTTCAAAACCACCTGAACGCAACACACTTTAACAATCGAGAGTACCTCAAGAGGTGGTGGGCTAACTTTTTCAATTCTCAAACTCCAGGTTTCTATAGAAGTTGAATCCAAATGCTGTTGAAGGTATGGAAACAAGTTGTTGATAATAATAACACATATATTTGTTAATTAGTTATTGTTGTCTTTTTTAAATATTAAATTTTGGTAAAAACAAAAATCGGCCAGAAACTTTTGCAATCACCTAATATAACGAACAATTTTTAAATCTTCGAGCTCTTCGTTATACAGCAGTTTTACTGTATTTACTTTTTACTCTTCAATATAGCCGCTTTTGCAAAACTCTTCCAAAAAACGAACTCTGACCAAAACGTCCTGCTCAATATCCGGCCTATTTGTTTACAAACTTTGACGTAAAACATACGACTATACTCGGTATAAGGGGTTTTCGGGTGGAAAATTTGCGTTTTTCGTTGGAACCGGGGGCAAGTAATTGAGAAGACAAATAAAGAAAACAAGGCGAATCGGTTTCAGCTCAACTGAAATGGGCTGGAAAATCGGATGAACCACAAAGGTTTACGTACGATCTTACGTATACACGTCTTGAGTTTAATAAGGGCTAGGGTTGAGGTTGGGTTTTAAATAGTGTTTTGGGGGTTGTTCTGGTGAAATTTGGAGATCTTTTTGGGTAAGGTTGGTGAGGATGTTTAACTAAGATATTGAAGGCTTGGTCATCAGTTTTGTAGATTTATTTGGCGTTGTTACGAACGGTGTACTCTTCGGTCAGTACCTTTTTTGGAAAAATGTTGTGTTTTAAATATTTTTTGATCAAAATATGTATATTACCGTGTAAATTATTATTCGAGCGAAATTTCATAATATCAATACAAAGTATATTCGAGCGACATTTCATAATATCAATACAAAATTTTAGTGGTTATCAAAACAAAAATAAAAACTTACAAAATGTCATTCTTATTTGACACATTTCGACCTACGAACAAACCCTTCCTGGACTCGTTTTACGAATCGTCGAAGGAGAACCGAGCGCTAGACGGCTTCAAGTGGGCTAGCTCGGCGCTGAAAAGTGTTTTGAATGGTCTGTTATAACAACATGCTAAAAGGGTCGGGAGGGAAAATGAATTGTTAATGAGTTTGTTGGGGGTGATTTGTAAAATACGAGTTTGATTTAAGCTTGATATAAATTGAGGTTTTTGAGCTTTAAAATAAGATGAAAAATTTTAAAAATTTGAAGAAAGTTTTGAAATTTTAAAGTAAGGTTAGATTTAGTAGTATACGTGCTGTGGAAGTCTTGTAACGCAAAATCTCTTTTATAACAAACAATTTTAAAAGTTCCAAGCGATTCGTATAGGCACTAGCTTGAATATGGCACATATACAGGAGTTCCACTGTATTCAAATTTAATTTAGTTTTACTAACCCAAAACTAACTTTATCAACTTTAACTTTTTATATTTTTAGCTGACAACTCGGCCGAAGTCAAATCGGAAATGTCATCGTTGTACAAAAGCGCCGATGAGAGTTTCAACTCGTTCGAAACGGCTAAAAACTCACCGGTTTCAGTAAAATCAATGAATTTTAACACGCCACAAAAGTCTTCTTCTACACCTACCAGGAAAAGCCTATCTGCTCGGTATTTGGAAGCCAAGGGGGAATTGAAGAATAACGAAAAGGAGCAGGACAAGGATGTGAAGGTTGATCAGAGCACAGTCAAAAATTCGGTGGTGAATGTCGAGAAGAGCCCGGAACAAAAGAAGGTATTGGAAGTTGTGTCAGATTTTGAAAAGACTCCACTACCTGTTGGCATCAAAGAGGCACTACCGGCTTTGCCTGAAGAGCCTGATTCGGTAAGTTGATGTTGTTGAAATTTTAAAAAAATTGAAATTTTGAATTTATTTTGAATTTTAAAGTTTACGTTACAATAAAAATCTGTTATTATTACTTTGTTTTGTAAAATACGTCACTTCCGTGTAGAGAACATTATTTAATTTTTAAAATTTTCAGTCTTTTTACAACAAAAGCCTCTCGTTCTACATGAAGATGGCCGAAGATGCGGAGTCAACCACGTCAGAAGACTCGCTGGAACTGAACGAAGACACTCAAACAGATCAACTATCACCAATCCGACACTCGTTACTTCATCTGGTGGCCGAGGAAGACATTCCAGAAATTTTGGAGGCGATGGCCGAGGAGGTTGGTTAATATTTTTTGATTTTTCGTGATGAAAACGGTGGTGAATATAGGTTGAGATATGTTTATGTCTTGTAAAAATAACTGGAGTTTGTAAAATAGGTGGAGGTTTAACAAGATTTGGCTAAATTTTATCTTTATGGGATAAATTTATATTACACTTGATGTTAAAGTAGGTGAAGAGAATTTGAAGTTTTTGGGATGTTTCTATTGATTTCAATGGCTTTTTCATGGTTCAAAACCATTGAATATAACTTTTTCTGAAACGAAAAATTTGGAAAATATTTGATTTTTTTGACCGAGCACTTCCAACCAATTCTCAACATAACTTTCTAATTATTACCCATAATTTGTCTCTAAAAGTACGAAAAACAAAGTAAAGTTTAAGTGTAAATAATTTTTGAAAAGAATTTGTGTACTAGCATGTTATGCTAAACGATTATTTATGTTGTTTTGACTCAGTAAATAGTTATGGTTAAGAGTAGGGTGGGTTCGGGTAAATAACTCATGAAGACAAGTGGATTTCGGGTTGATTTGGACTTGGAACTCGATGAAGCATCTCAAATTATGCTTGAATTGAGCTACAAAAACATGGAGAATGTAAATTTTTTAATGTTTTTGCCTTTGAGAGGAAATGAAGCGGTTTTTAAAGGTTTTGTATGAGGTTTGAACGTGATTTTTAGTAGAAAAAGTCGGGTTTTTTGATTTTAGTATAAACTAGTTAATATGACATTTTTACCATCTCACACCTCACGTTTTGCAACTATTTATTCTATTTATACGCCGAAAAAACAACCGCTTTTGACGTATATTCGAATGGTTTAAGATTTGGTGGCAACATACCGTGAATCTAAGGGTTTTTGACTTTCAAGCTTCTGAACTCTTGGCTGCGGTTCAATAACTTTTTCATAACGGAAGTTTTGGTCCTAAAAAAATGCATATTGTTTCTTATAAACGAACCGTGAATTGTAATTCTGAAACGTTTGGACCGGGTACGGTGAAGGTTGTTTTACCGTATAGAGGTTGAGAATGGTGGTTTGAGGTTTTGAAGTTTTTATAATTTGGCAAAATTTTACTGAACATAGGCTCAGCTAGCAACATTGTATTGAATATAGGCTAACTCAACCACATTGTATTTATTACTATTTTTAGTACTTATTTTACAAAGATCTAACAACTATCTTTTCATAATTAACTAACAACTATTACAAGGTAAACACCATACCAAATACCAAAGCTTTTTGAATCAACATTAATATACTACAACTTGTTTACACTTTTTGCACTCACAACTCCAAAATCTTGGCTTAATGTTCACGCGACAGCAATGTCAGAGAACCATTTGTCAACAAGCACGATGAATCTTGTGGGTCGTGAATTTGGGTTCTGAAGTTTGTTTGGGTTCTATTTGCTCGGAGTGTTTGCAATAAATCTTTTGTGTGAGGTCACGAATCTTGGTAGCGTGCTTCTGGGCTTCAGGGACGTTCGTTTTCTCACGGTTGGGTCAACGTGAAATTTTATGGTGGTTTTTTGGATTTACTGGATACTCTGTTGTTACTGAAGTGTTTCTATGATGCTATTAAATAGTTTGTTCTCTCTGAAGGTTTTCTATGATAATATTGGTGTTATTCATTGGTGAGTTTGCTTCTTAGGGTCACTCTTAATAGAATATTTGGTATAGGCTACTGTATTCGTCAATCTATCTAATTTTTATGAACTTTACTGTCTTTATCAATACATGTCAAAAAATACCCTAACTCACTTCCTACTATTGACAGGATCATTCTACGATGTGTAACATCAAATGAGCCCATAGTGTCACAACTCACGCTCGTTCTTCCTTATAGCCTCCCAAAAGACGCCGATTTTGGCGTTTGAAAAATGTCTGGAGGCTTTGTTCCGTTGTTGTCTGAAGATTTTTAAGTGAATTATAACTTTTGAGGCCAACCGGAAGTAAAACCCAGAATTTAGGGTAATGTTTTTTGTTTTGCGACACTACTGTCGGTCGGATTTTGAGAGATTTCGACGGATTTTCGACTGGGAACCAGGAAGGTCACAAGGCTTTTGATTTTTTGCATAGTGCGGTACATAATTAGGGCTAGTTGTATTGGTAGTATAAAAGGCTTTGCGTTAGAGCCGTTTTTCGTAATACTAGTTTACTTTATAGTAACTCGTATTTTTAGAAAACTGCTTTGATAATCATACTGGCAGACGAGGTATCAAATGCTCTTTCTTTGGCTGACGATGCTGTAGAAGATAACCTTCAACTTTTATTGTAGCACAGCAATTTTATGAGTGCAAAGTTTTGATTTATGCTCTATATTTATTGTTCTACCTATTGTTGTCAAGATTATTTAGTGTTGTTTTTGAGAACGCCCTAAAATCCTCACCAATTATGACGAAAATAATGGATTCCACGCAGTTTCAGAGGCCGGAATCCGGCGAAAAACGCATCGTTTCCGCTGGCAATTGTTTTTTACTGTGGCTTTGTTTGCTCTCGGACAGTTTTTTATATGAGGCCATTTTTAGCTTCGAAAATGGTAGGGCCGTTGGGTGTTTTTGTGGGCCGTTCGAACGATTGTCTGGCGTTCGAATGGGGTTCTTTGAACAAAGATAAGAACAATGGTCGGAAATCATTCGAACGTTGATGGATAGAATAATTCTGGAAACGTTTTTTTGTAAAGGTTTGTCTTAAAAGGGCTGTATGGGAAGGCTGTAAATGTGGGTCTTGATGGAAATGGAACGTTTTGAAGACGTAAATAACAACGGAACGCTTTTATGGGTATAAATTAGAGATTTGCAAGATAAGTGGTTGTTATTTTTGGTTTTTGAAAGGCATTAGGAGGGTGTTCATAACGTTAAGTGGCGGTTTTGATAGGTTTTGGTGTCTGGAAGCGCAAAAGTAATATGGGTTTGTCAAAATGTTGTTAAATGTGAATCTTTATCTGTTGTTGATCCTTGGCCTAGTCTTTCATCTTACTTCTTGATATTTTGTCGGGCTTTTGGTTCATCTTTTTTATCTTTGGATACTTTGCCTAGCTTCTGGTCCATCTTTTTGATCTTTGGCTCAGACTCTTATCAGTGAATCTCTAAAAACGGTTGATATATTTAGTTGACAATACAGTGACAGATTGTTTTGGAAAGATAAATTTGGATTTCCAGAGAAACGATATCAAGATTAAGAACGGTCAAGAGTTTTGTTGTTTTCTTGGAAAGAGACATTTCTTTGCACTATAATTTGGCTAGCATTTGTCTCACTCTCAAAGCTTTATCAAAATGAACTTTTGTGCGCATTTGATATTTTGTTGGCAGTACGCGTTGCTAATATTGTGCTTTACCGTCTTTATCGACTGTATCTAGTATGCTAATTTGCAATTTAGATGTTGCAATAACAGTTGTATCAATGAAACTAACAATATTTCTTAACACGTGCACTAACATGAATTCAAACTAGATTTTACGACAAGGACGTGAATAAACACGAAAAACAATTGAAATCCTTGGCCGGCGATTAGTGTTTTGCAAAAAAATTATTTACAGTTTTGGAATAAATTAAACACGAGCTATAAATGAATGGGTTGTTTTGTTTTTAAAAACTGTTCCGGGTGATTGTTATAAACAATAGTGAATTTCGTTGTTTGTGGTTTATAAAAATTATTGAAAATGTGACATATTTGGCTGGATAATATGGGTGTTACGTAGATTAATTGTGACTTTAAAATGTTGATTGTATTTTTTCTTGGCTCGAATTCAAAGCTGAATGATATAATTGGCAAATATTTTAGTAGAATTGTTATCAAAACTTTTTCTTAATTAGTTTGAATTTTGAAAAGTTTGATAACAAGCATACTACAACATCCGCTAATTAAAATATTCACGTTTTATTCAAACCAGGAAAAGTACAACCGACATTTTGATATCCGAGTTGGCCGGCGTAACATCCTTGTTACTCATCAAAACGTGTCACGCTGTCATTAATTTCTGTAAACCATAAACAACGGAATTTACTATTGTTTATAACGATTACCCGGAACAAAATTTTAAAACAAGACAGTTCGTTCATTTATTGCTGTTTAATTTATTCTAACACTGTAAATAATTTTTTTGCAAAAAACTATTCTTCGGCTAGTGATTTTGATGATTTTACGTGTTTATTACGACGAATTAATCAGTTTTGTAATCTAAACATAGAGAATATTTATCATTGCGTGGCAGCTAGAGAAGTATTTTTAATAGTACATGCGATGACGTTGGCTCCTTACAGATTGATTATGGAAGTTTTGATTCAGAGGCACATTTGTCTCTTTCTTGATAAATTAGGCTTTCGTCATTACTTTATCTTGCCATCAACATGCGTTTTATTGTCATTTTTAAGGAAATTTAAAGAAAAAACAATTTTTTCGTATAATCAATGAATATCATCTGAAAAAGTCTGCCTTTAGACTGTACATAAAATGTTTATAAATAAAATCTAATTTATGAAAATTGAATTTTTTGGTCTTTGCTAGACTCGTAAGATATTATATCGTCTTAAAGCACCAATGTTTGAACATGTGAAAGAATTCTCAAAAAATTTCTCGACATTATAGTAGGCTGTAATTGAATTTGGTTCATGTTCTGCTTCATATCGCTTCAATTTGAAGGGCCAACAGTGTTTAAACGCCGCTCGAAGGCAATATTTGTTAGAGTAGGGAAAACACTCGAGTTATGACTATTCCCTAAGGGCGTTTGTGTTTTGCTTGCAGATTCTTGAAATTTCGGTGGAGTTTTTGATAAATGAAGTGGGGAATTGAGACTGTTTTGAGTAGTTTTTTGAGGTTGCAGCGGTGATTTTTCGGTTTAGTCTGTCCTTATACAGTATTTTCATATAGGAATGATATATCTTGTTTAGTATTGTCATGAAAAGGTGGCTTATAGTTTAGTTGTACTTTAACTTTCTGTCCAATTAAAGTACAAAAATACTTTAAATTTTAAACTAAACTGTATGGCTTCAAACCTTAAGCCATATTTAG